AAATGTTACGGACAGTAACAAACAACCTTCCTTCTCAGTAGTACTATATTATTGTTTTATACCAGCAAAATGCATTGCCTTGAATTGATAAAGTGCGAAATAACGCTTGGGAGTAAAAATAAAGAATTTGCAAAACTCACTTTTATGCTTGCTGTGTCTGTTTGACGCGTGCGAACACTGCTACGCGTTAAAGGCAGTATCCGGGCAAAAACTCGATCTTGAGATTTTGTGCTTACTCGGACCTTTTCGTTACGCCGAATCGGAAAATGCACATTAGAGAGCGCGAAAACGGCGAAAAACGGCTCTAACACAGGAGGGAAATAAGCAGGTTGGCGGGGTCCTCCCCACTGTGAATTCAGCTCCCAGCTTCCGGAGCGATCTTCTCGCTTCCGGTTTCAAGTCTTTTTCGCACTTAGCCGGTAGCGATGATAGGACGGCTAGCGGAATCGAGAAGAGCGCTCCGGAAGTTGGGAGCGTGAGTTCGCAGTGGGGAGGACCCCGCCCACTTGCTGTTTCCCTCCTGCGCTAGAGCCCTTATTTGCCTTTTCGCGCTTTTCACTGTGGATTTTCGAATTCAGCGTGGAGAATAGGCCCGAATAAGCACAACATCTTAAAATCGAGTTTTTGCTCGGACACTGCCTTTAAAGGCAGTGGGTCGGCAAAAATCAACAACTGAAAATTTTGATGCGGTAGACTTCTTATTGCCCAAGTATGAAAACAGTGCATTCCCGGTTGCACAGCATGCCTTCCTTGCCGAGAAAATTGCTCTCAAACTTACACGCGCAGGCTATTTATTCACGCATCCGACGAGTTGGCAATTTCCTCCTCACTATTGGAGGCTGCCTGCCGCAGGCAACGATTCGGCGTAACGAATCAGCCTTGCTGCACTCGTCCAATTCCAAAGGGAAGGACATTGAAAAACGCTCGTTTTCGGCGTTTTCAAGCTCTCAAAAGTGGATTTTCGGAATCAGCGTATTGAATAACCCCAGGTAAGCGTAAAATTTGACTAGGTTGAGATTTGAGCCACTGCCTTTAAGGCAGGTCGCATGCGTCGTCATCCATAACATTAGGGAGGCGGGGTCTCGTAATTCAGGAACTGTGCTGATTACCAATATAGCATACCTCATCCCCAAAGAACAATCCCTGGACCGGGAAAATCAGCTAATAATATAATAGTATCAAAGCAAAAATCGCTTGTATCTTATATATAAAGCTGAATGTCTGTTTGTATGTGTCTGTCTGTCTGTCTGTATGTGTGTATGTGTGTACGTATGTTCCGAATAGAAAATTCTATTTCTGAACCGATCGGGACCAAACTTAGCACACATACACTTCGGGCCCCTACGTGTGTCATAGGCTACTTTTCGTATCGATCGATATCGATTTTATCGATTTTTTGCAAAATTTGAGCTACGGGGCTGGGAGTTGGCACAGGGGGGTAAGTGAGCATGGGGATTCCGAATACAATATTAGTTTTTAAAATCGTGCATTACTTTTATCGATTTTATCGATTTTTTTGCAAAGTTTGAGCTACGGGGCTGGGATTTGGCACAGGGGGGTAATCGAGCATGCTGATCACCCCCGTGGGGTGATCAGCATGCTCGATTACACCCCACTGCCAAACTCCAGCCCCTAGCTCAAATTTTGCAAAAAAATCGATAAAATCGATAAAAGTAATGCACGGTTTCGAAAACTAATTGTATTCGTAATCAGCATGCTCGATTACCCCCCTGTGCCAAATCCCACTTCCCTAGCTCAAATTTTGCAAAAAATCGATAAAATCGGCATCAATCGATAACGAAAAGTGGACTGTGACACCCGCCGGGGCTCGAAGTGTATGTGTGCCAAGTTTGGTTCGGATCGGTTGAGAAATGGAATTTTCTATTCGGAACATACGGCGGAGCCGGGTAAGCCAGCTAGTGGAGGATAATCACGCAGATAATACTCTAGTTTTCAAGTTTTCAAAAACTTTCAATGAGAAAGCAAGCTCTTTCGTAGAGATCTCATAATCATTGAAGTACCTGTCACTTCCGCGTACTTACTATGCAGCTGTAACTCAGATGATTCTGAAAATACAGAACAAATACAGAACAGATTCTGATCTCATGCGACTGGAGATACCCTTTTGGAAATCACATCAAAGCAACTGGCTTGAATCGCTACCTGAAACCGGAATGAAATGAAGCGTGTAAGTACCAGTCATAACTTCCAAGTTATGACGTAAAGCCATAAAATATGCCATTCAATTCTTATTTATGGCTGCTTATAAGTGCGAATCCTTGCAGTAGATGACCTTTTTTGTCTAAGAAAGAGTTCGCAGTTTGGAGCCTATTAGTTCCAAGAGTTACGTAACCGGTACAATTACGGATTTAGGAGTTATATACAAGCAGCTTCACAGTAGTGGCACTTCAAAAGATTATAGTAGTTTTTGTATTTTGATTTTAACTTCAACGATTTCTTACCTATAGCTTTAAAAAGAGAAACAGGAAGCTCCTAGAGCACAAAATTCCATTAATAAGTCCGCTTCGGAAAAAACTCGATTTTTTTACTTCAGCAGTTCTTGTTCCAAAAAATCAGGAATTCAGCGTCTGAAGAAAACTGTGAGAAGATAGGGATTTTTTGTGCATTTTTTGGAAAGTTTTTAAGAGCACTTTACAACAGCATATATGTTGTTATTGAACTCTCATTTTCTAAACATTTCCTTCATTCATGATTTGCATGTACATCGCAGCTTTTTTTATTCAGCCTATCAAAAACTTTTGATTGATTTACAGGCAGCTCTTTGTTCATAGTTTTGCCAAAATCACATAATCCCAAAGGTAATAGTCCAAGCTTTTGGCGATATATTTTTTCAGGGGGTTATTTACATGATTGATACAACTAAGAAGCTCTTTTAGATCTCAATCAAAAACAATGAGCTTTCTTACTGAAGCTTAGTCCGAAATATGTACTTCTCGCCCAATTATACCTTCCAATAGAAAAAATCAAGAACTTTCTAGTAGCTTCTTGAAAATCCTCATTAAAAACAAATCGCAGAATCAAACATGAAAAAATTATGTTATTCATGTTGCAGTGATTTTGCGCAAGCCGGACCAAAAAATTAGAGAAGGCTGCAACGAAACCCGCAACCATCGAAATAAAATTGAAATTTTATGACTTTATTTTTTTTTCAAACAAAGCAGATTCTCACTGGTTGAATATTCCATTAGAAATGGTACTAAAGCGGTAAAATGTTGTTCGAGTCATTTGAGTTTTCGAAATTGATAACCTTTCAGAGAGATGCTCAATCAGCAAACATTCGTTTAGATAAAGTACCGTTACAAATATTATGCATGTCCAAATTTTGTTGAGGTTTTTTTAAGGTAATCTTATTGAAAATTAGTGAAGCACCTAGGTTAACCTCCTTCATTTACTTTGAAATGAGCTAACTGAGAACCTCAATTGACTTTCCAACCATAACTTGACTTTTTCCTTCCGACAAAATTACTAAATAAAACGATTGCGATGGAAATAATTTACCTTTTTTCAACATGGTGCAGACGAAATTCGGACCTAACACATTCCCTAGAGGAACTATTGATATTTTACAGAGAGTGTTCCATTATTTTTGACCCCAATGACCACCATCAAATTTTTTAGGCATGTCAAAAATTGAAGTTTGGAGTTTTCATCGATTCTGAGCCAAGATTGATAGTTTGTTCCTCTTCTCAGATAGCAGTAACTATGATTTTCACATTCTTGCAAGTCTATATTTATGGAAATTTTACCGCTTAGCTAGTATGTCACTTCAAGACAGTAACAATACTTTTAACTGCTGCAAAATCGTTTTTTGATGATGAGTTAACGAGATCGCAATTAGCAAATATATATCGCAGTTGTGATTGATGATATGTTCGTCGGCGCTGTCAGCTAGAGGCGCTGATCAGTCTCATCACCACCATGTTTATCATCAGGATCCGTTGCTTCGCCATGTCGGCTACTAGTTTCTCGATGTAGAGATCCCGATTCGAGAGCCAAGAAACTAGAGGGCGAAAGTGCGGCAGTCTGACCTGATTCTCAGCTGTTCTGAAGGGGCGACGAGGGCGGTTTTATCGCTATTCATATAAATAGTCAAGTGTTGATGATAACTAATCCATCTGAACTTCTTCTTCCAGCTTCTTAGCCACAGCTACTTCACTTTTCATCGCCTCATCGCCTCTTACGGGGTTTTCTGTACGATAATGTTGGTTCGGGAAGGTGTCATCTTCTCGCGGTCATTGTTCAAGTTTCACTTTCAAAACGCTAATCGCTAAAGGGTGTAAAAGCCGGGATCAAACTCCGCCTCCATATTTTTCAGTGGGTCAAGTAGCCTCCGATAAACTCGTAGTATCCTTGAAAAGTTGCTTGTCAGCTTGCATTTATATGACACCTCCACTATTTCCTTATTGCTACTTAATCATCATCCAAGGAATAATATTACTATTACTAATCTCATAATTCACTGCAAGTTTATTTTTAAGGCGATAGTCTAGAATCCCGCCAAAATCTACACAATTGGTCGCGTCTGCTTCTTTAGGCCGAATTTTTGGAAAAATTCTATAAAGATTATATTTACTTTTCATACTCTCGCTTATCCATCCAAGAAATAAGGCGCCGTAAGAAATTCTTGAGAAAGTGACTTGAAAGAATGGGGGCCCTAACTATTATAAGAAGTAAAAGAATGACAAATATTGTGTTCTTGCGGTGCCGACAATATTTGCGCGGGAGCAAATTATCACAATTCTAATTACAATCAATAGGCAGCTGAAGTACCACCAACCTATGCGTGAATTTGCACACAGAGTATCTTTTGAGCCCATTACCATAGCCATTTCTCACGCGCAAATGTTGTCTTCACCGTAGGGGTTCCATCTACGAATTCACTATATTTCAAACCTTCAAAATTCTGCTTGTCATATAAAATTCTATGAAATTCTAGTTTTTGCGCTTTTCCATCCAATTGATCCTAAAACAACTTTCAGATGCGCGTTCTTGCCTTCCTCTTGGCTATCGGTTCTGTGGCTGCAATTCCTGTCGACAACGGTGTTGAAGGGGAGCCGGAAATCGAGTGTGGTCCCACTTCGATTACCGTAAACTTCAACACCAGAAACGCTTTCGAGGGCCATGTATACGTGAAAGGCTTGTTCGATCAACCCGAGTGCAGAAATGATGAAGGAGGACGACAAGTGGCTGGAATTGAGCTGAATTTTGATCGGTGTAACACCCAGAGGACAAGGTTGATTCTTGTAGATTTTTGTATTATTTTTATAATTTTTATGTGAATTTTGCAGATCCCTGAATCCTCGAGGAGTGTTCGTCTCAACAACCGTAGTCATCTCGTTCCACCCACAATTCGTGACCAAAGTTGACAGAGCGTACAGAATTCAGTGCTTCTACATGGAAGCCGACAAGACCGTCAGCACGCAGATCGAAGTATCTGAGCTGACCACTGCATTTCAAACACAAGTTGTACCCATGCCAATTTGTCGTTACGAGATCCTTGACGGTGGACCAACCGGACCCCCAATCCACTTCGCCACCATTGGTCAACAAGTAATTTTTGCACATCTTAATGTCTAAATAGGCATAGGCTATTACAAACACCCCTAGGTCTACCACAAATGGACTTGCGATTCCGAAACCGCCGACACTTTCTGCGCTGTGGTTCACTCTTGCACTGTCGACGATGGTAATGGCGATACTGTACAGATTCTCAATGAGGAGGGTTGTGCTCTCGATAAGTTCTTGCTGAACAATCTTGAGTACCCTACTGATCTGACAGCTGGTCAAGAAGCTCACGTCTACAAATATGCCGATAGGTTTGCATCCTTTCTTTTCTTTCAATCTGAATTACGGTACTTTCTTAATTTTGGCGAAAGTCAATCTTTTGAGCCTTATTTAGCACGAGAAGGATCTTGATTGAATCTGAACTACTCATTACATTTTGCTTTTGAGTACAGCAGAAGAAATTCCACGTTTTCACAAAAATTGCTAATTTTTCACTGGTTACGTTCAAAGTACGTTGCTTTTTGAACACCAACTTGCTTGAAGGAAAGTAATAAGCGGACTTTTTATTGACGTAGATGACTCGAGAGATTACTGAGATACCCGTTTGAAGATGAGATCGGTGTAGGTTTACGGGTTAGAGAGTTTTGCGCGATTTCACTAGTACAGGTTCACGCTAACGATTCCACTCTCCTTTTCCAGAAAACAAAAGAGTAAACAAGTTTGGTGAATAGCTGGTATAGAAAAGCTAAGAATCGCAATCTCTTCCTCAAATCAATTATTGACTAAAATCTCCTCGCTTATTATATCATACAGAAAATTACCCCCACTAGTGTCCATAAATAAGCGTTTCTGGAGAGATCTCACGGTGAGGAGAATTGAAGTTACATTTCTTAGATCCCAACTCTTCTATCAGTGTCAGATTAGTATTACAATCAAAGAGCCAAATAGTGAATGTCCACGACCACAATGCCCTGAACCTCAAGGATTTGGAGCCCAGAAGGTAGCTTTTTATTCGGTAAATATTGAAGAGAATTCAACAAACTCTATCAGAACTACAAAAGTCTACTTCAGATCGGAGCAGCAGGAGGAACACCAGGTGGAGGAGCTCCCCCACATGGAACAGCAAATGGTCCCAAAGTGGGTCCCAGAGCGGCAGATGCAGAAGGGACCGCAGCTCCCGCAACAGCTCTGGCAGCAGCTCCCGCACCTGCTCAGCTGCGTTTGCTCAAGAGAGAAGCTGGATTTGAAAATACTTTGGATGTTCGTGCTGAGCTCAACACTGTGGATATCCAAGAAAAGGTAAGTGGTACCCAATTCCATTCTATTCCTCCCAAACATATCCCAAATGTTTTAGAACCCGGACCCTGAAGAATTGAGAATGGTCACTCCAATGATGATGATGTCTAGCGGAATTTGTCTCTCGCCATTCGGATTCTCAGTCTTCGTTGCTGCTGCCGTATCCCTCATTGCCGCTTCTGTAGTCCTCGCCTCCTACACATTCCGTTCAAAAGCCAAAAACTTCAAAGTTTGACATTTGTACAGATTAGGCTTTACTTATTCCATGTTATGTTTACAGATAATAATAAATGATATAATATCACTGAGTTTTCTGTGGCTGGGCATCTCATGAAAATCATCTATTGTTTTAAACCTCACAAAGAAAGGTTGGAGGGAAGTGTGGGTACTGATATAAAACACAATATGCTTATCTCATTCAGACGATCTTACGAGCGAAGCATGTTTTGTCGAAGTGGACTCTTAAGATGGCATTTATACTATACTAAAGAAAATAAAACACCAATTCCAAATTTCCCTTTTTCATCTGTAAAACATTTGTGTGGGAGGAGTTACGAGCGTTCAATGGAGCAAAAAATTGAATGTGCAAGTAGAACCAAATTAGCATTATATTTTTTCTGGCGCTTTGAAGGCAGCGTCCGGGCAGGTCTGACGATTTCAAGAAAAGCACACATTGCTACAGCTCCCACCTCGATGAAAGTCTTGTCCAAGTCGCATCGCTCCACTTTGCTTCTGAAGCGAGAAAACCGCTTCATAAGTGGCGAAAGGGACACCCCTTTACGGTCGGCGGCAACCTGCCCGCACATCGAGGGATTTTACGTTAGATATGCAGGTTGTAACCTCACACTGTCATAACCAGGGTCAAGCGTGGGGTGCGGCACGCCACACCTGGGGGGTCGTATTGAGGAGTCAAAAGGGGAGGGGGTTATAGTTGGGTAATCTGATAATAGTGATAACATGATATTCGCATCCTATCCATAATTAGCATGTCAAATAACCCCTGTAGACAAAGTGTGAGTGAATTCTGAAGATTCAAGATACTAAGCTACTAAGTGAAATGGTCAAATTCCAACATGGTTAACTTTGTTTCAAAGGTGAATTAGCTATCCGTTTTTGCACTCAAGACAAAGCACTACTCCTTCTTTGTCCACCTCAGAAATCCCGCTTCAGAAGACCTCCAGACTGTGGAATTAGAAGCCAACCAAAATCTCGTTTTTCCCATTTTTAGCTTTTGATCGCTGTGCTTTCACCAAATATCACTCAGAGCTAAAAAGACGAATCAGGCTCCAAACAGTCCTATGGAATCTACAAAGTTTAGGCTATCGATTCATATAAATACTGTCCGCTAAAATTGTTTTTTGATATAGTTAATGGGGTGCGGCACCCCCCCCCCCCTCCCTCAAAGCTGCGGCTGCCGCAGCTTTTAAGGGGGGGGGGGGGTGCCGCGCCCCATTAACTTACCCTTAAAGCCGTTGGAAGTCTACGATTTTAATGTCGTTGCTACCACTCAACCTTCTTCTCTCTATAGTATGATTTTCATCCAAAACTTTCCCGCACAGAATGAGATATAGCGCTTTTTCTACTAACTACCATCCATCGTGCGGCTTCCAAAATATCGGAATACGGTAGCACGCAAATTCAACTTGCCGCCTTTCTGCGTTAATGCGTAAACAATGCAGAAAGGCGGCAAGCTAAATAATTCGGATGCTTTCCATTGTTTTGCGACAGTTTTAGAATTTGTGCTTCTTTTCGTCGGTTTCCTTATATGAGGCCTTTCTTTCAGACACCGTGTCCTTTTGAGGATAATGGAACGACAAATCTACAGTCTGGTTCTTGATTCCTCCCAAAAATGGAATGGCGTTTACAGCTTGGTTTTCCATTAATAGAGGGATCTTTTTTTGTTTCATGCAATCTGACATTCGAAAGAGTAAATTTTTCTTTGCACAAAACTAGCTGTGCTTTGGGCAAGCTATACAATGTGCTTTTTATGTGTTATTTCTCGATGCGATATAGTTTCGAAATGCACTGATGCGGCAATTTCCGCCATCTCCTTCTAAAACGGTTTCGATTTGTTTTATCCAAAGGCTTTTTCTTTTTCTAGCTCCTTTGTGAGCCGAAAACTAGTATACTTTTGCAAGATTGCAACTCTGTTCCACTAGTTTTATGCATATTGGAGTGGCCTGTAATGTAAAGAGCCCATACGTTACCAGATGCATAACTTTAGTGTAAGTGCGAATAGTCTGGACCTTGCCTTCACTTGTTATATGGAAAAAAAGCGAGTTCTTCAACTTTTTTAGACTCACGAAATTTCAGTTATATTTCTCGAAGACGGTACTATAGAGGCTTTTTGCTTGGCAGCGAGAATCTTTCGAAAATGCAACCCTGGTATTAGAGGGGGGGGGACGTTTTCGGGGCAACTCAGGGGGGAAGTCGTATTCGCCCGTTCAGTGCCACACCTCTTGCTCTACCCTGGTCATAATTGTGGTCGGTTTGCAACCTCGTACTGTCATCACCGTGCCACAACACAAAATTGCGGCTCATGCTCAATGTTATGTGGAAATAAAGTTGTTTTGTTAAATAACGATTTTTTTCATTCAGGCAGTGTCTTCGCGTCCGTCCGCATTCGAGTATTTTCGGTGCCGATGCTTCAACACCTAAGAAATCCACAAAGGAGAAGCAGAGTAAGTTTAGTATTGCTTGCTGATGAACAACACATTTCTGTACTTAAGTGACCCGAGCTGGCGACACCAGTGCGTCCAAGACGTCCACGTCTACTACCGCGAAATGTATTCACGTTGTCCTTCTGGATCTCCAGCACAACTTCCTGGGAAATGAAAAGTGCTGACTAGTGCCCGCACAACTCTTGGCTCGCACTGGACACAAATCAGTCTCAACCGTGTTCAATACTTTTTTGTTTGCTATTTTTTTGGTTTTCCGTTTACTTTAGCTACATACAATGTTATACTGAGAAGCCAAATGCTTGCCCAGGAGAGACTTTTTGCCTGAACAAATCCTTCATTGCCTTTGTTGAGAGTACTTGCTTACTTCCGCGAAAAATCTCAGCCACAATATGAACATCTACTTGACGCTGTATTTCATACGGAATGCGATTTTTCATTGTACATGAAATGCTCTTGGAAGAAAATAAAAAAATTTGGCAGGCATTATCGGATTTGCTTCAAACATCACAATCGAATAGAATTCCATATCCAAGATACATCAACAGTGTCAGTTCTAAGAAACTGGATCTTCTTAACTTGAACATCACGATGCATCAATGCATACCATCAACAACCATTTGCTCATTGAAAGGAGCATGTTCCATGTATGCTCCTTTCACTGAGCGAATGATATGAATCACATAACTAAGTAAATATCCTCTTTGTGACCATTCCATTTGTTTTGAATTCGACGCAAAGAACCATCATTGGTAAACCGACCTGAAAGAAAAACCTAGGATTCTCAAAACAGATGACTTGCATCTAAACAACTGCCGTCAACCATGAAGTGTCATATATCAACTTTGTTAGCTTTGCCAGATAGTAACACTGTATTGCCTGTGGCCAATGCTCGCACAGATTGCCATAGAAACCACTCAAACAATGGAAATGACCTTCTAAAGCAGCAAAATAATAGGAAGGTAACATTTGCAGGCAGAAAGCGTCAAGCAAAAGGGAAAAACGTGTAGGTATAACATGCGAACAATGCTATTTTCCCGAGGATGACATCAGTGTAAGCATAAAGGACTTGAGCCGTTTGAACACGTACTTGTAGAAATACTATGATGAAAGGCTGGAACCTACCCCAGGCAGCCACCCCAGCTCAAGAAATTCGAAGCGATATGGAAGCCGAGGTGTGGTACACTAAGTCATGCCTCTACATTATAGAAGCTTTGAGCAAACCAGCAAAGATGATGAGCACTAGCAATTTTTCCGGACAGAACACGTTTCTGTTGGAAAGGAACAAGTAAAATCTCCCTCAAAATTAGCGGTGAGCATGAAAAAACAAAGAGATTCTACTAGGCATTATCGTGATTCATTTTACATGAAAACTATGCACTATCCAAACACTGTTTAGAGTGATTCTCAGACCAGTCCCAATACGCCAACAAGAGCGCCACTGACACCCGAGGAAACACCATCAAAAGCCTCAGTCAAACCAGCAAAATCGACGATTAGAAAATTGAGATTAGATATGTGGTCGCGCGATCACTGCATAGCTAAATGTTTGCAGTTCAGGGCAATTCCTACCACATATCCCCTGAGAAGCAACTCTCGGATGGTGAGTATGAATGTCGCGGCTCTGCGCGGCTGCGACCGCTCCTAGAAGGAGGCCGGGAGCACTGGTTGCTGCCGCGCTATCCAGCAAATTACGGTACTTTCCCACGCTTGCCGCAATCTCCGCTGGACCTCTCCTCCTCTTGGCGCGTTGCCAGTCAAAAGGCTATATATAGCGGCGGCGCCTCATTGCAGCGTCTGATCGCTTTCGTTTTTGTACAATAGTCTTTTCTCATGTTTTTCTATTGTGGTCGTGCCTTGGCAGTTGGCCTTCCGCCTTTGACATCCCATTCGCAGTAGCGGCCGAGTAAGATACTAGATCAAAAGTACTAGATCATTTTTACTAGATCAAAATTCAAGCGGATTTTGGATTCAGTTTGGACGAGCCACCTTTAAAAATTTTTCGAGATTGAGAACATTGAGACCTTACGAACTTTAAGAGGGGCTGTCGCGCCTGTTAATCGGTTACGCGTGGCGAATCTGTTTAGGTGAAGCCTCGGGAGCATCGTTTTTGTTAGAAGTTTGTAGACGCGCAACATCGGTAGCACGGGCAAGGCACCCTGTACCGTGCTGGGATTGTTTTCTTTTCTACTTTTATTGTAATTTAGTATTTTAATGTAGCGTTTACTTGTTTCCTCGTGTGTTTTAGAGATAAACTGTTAGTATTTACCATTCTGTTTCTCCTGCGCTAGGTAGGAGGTAGGCTAGATGCGTCGTAAGAGTTAAGCGGGCGAGCGCGCACAGGTTTCGCTGATAAGTCTAGGTGTTTAGGGCCCACCGAGCCGCCACAATGAAGATGAGCAGGAAGTGCAACCGACGAACTAGATAGATACTATCTAGTGTCGGCAGGAAAACTGCTCGAGCTTTTCTTCCTCACCCGATGCGATTGCGGAACCAACGCGGATGGCGCAGTCTGGCTAAAAGGTTACGGATTAGTCCCAGTGATATACTACACCACTAACGGCCCAAAAACGGAGACTAAGCAAGAAATGGGATGGGCAAGACAGGCCAGGCTAGGCCAAATAGCAGAGGAGAAACGGTTCACTGGTAACCTTGCATGCTGCGCAGCTGCATCACCACGGCGTGCGCATGAATGCAAATAAGAAGTTTCGAGATATGACAAATTTTTTTTATAGAAAGTAAAATAATGGGCAAAGGAAACCGGCGTAGGCCTTCCATCCAAGTCTGTATTCAACCAGCTGTTCAAGAAGATCCGTTCGGTCATTACAACGGTGTATGAAAGGCGACAGAACGAAATGATACAGACCATAAAGTCCGCCTACGAGGTACGGTAGAAAAGGTAACGACAAAGTTAAGGCATGGTAAGATGCCTTAGTTTAGATAAATGGCCAGTCTTCTTGGGATAATCAGGTAGATCATTTGACTCAGGAGGACATAGCGTTGCCTTCTGTAAAGTGGTGGCGATTTGACCACAAAACAAAGCTGTGCATCCACACAGAAGTGCTGCACTATTCGGAAACAGATGCGACCAAATCAACAAAGAAACGACGATATCTCTTCTAAATACTTTTTTTCAGATAATGTTAGTGGGAGAATGGAAAAGAAAGGTTCCATCGCTTGTTATGTTGGTTCCATGCAAAACACATACAGATAGGTTCGGTCTCCACGGAGCGTAACCCTATGTATGGAAAAGAGATCCGGCTATACAACTTCGAATTTGGCACTAACATCCAGTGGTTATTAGACCTCTGACACTTGGCAAAGCGCCTGAACTGCCAACTTTACGACGAACGGAAACATTCTGTTGCGAAACAACGCATAAAACTCAACCTGCAACAGTCGAAGACTGCAACTATTGTGACCTCGTTCAAACAACTTTTAACATATTGGCTGGGCACCACTGCGTCAGCACATCAGCCTTGCTTGCTACTACTCTGACTATACATACATACAGAGAAATGGGGATATGGACGAAATGCGAAAAGTAAAGGTATCGAAATCGACATTTTCTGACACTCAGAAAACTTTTCTGCAAGAAATTAAAACAAAAGATCATTAGAGTTGCTTCAAAATTGAAAAGCAGATTTTGTAGAGCAAATGTGGCTCTTTCGAAGTATACCAAACACTTTGCCATGAATAAACTGCTTCACCAGAAAACGATGACAAAAATAAGAACGCTACGAACTTATGGAACGATCTAATTTATATTAGGTTGTCCCGAAAATTTTCGCGGTTTTTTCAGACGACTTACCGCGCACAATAAAGACCTATATGAGTTTTAACATGCATTCGATGCCGCTTTTCCTTTTTTTCTTAAAGGCAGTTCCGAGCAAAACTCGATTTTGAGATTTTGTGTTTATATGGGCTTATCCACCATGCTAAATCCGAAAATACACCAAAAAGCGCGAAAACAGCGAAAAAAGGGCTCTAATGCAGGAGGGAAATCGAGAGGTGGGCGGGGTCTTCTCCACTGTGAATTCACGCTACAAGATTCTAGAGTGATTTTATCGATTTCGGTAGCATTTCCATCGGCCAAGTACGAACGTTTGAATTGCAATCGGAAGAGGAGATCGCTCCAGAAGCTGGCATGAATTCACAGTGAGGAGAACCCGCCCACAAGTAATTTCCTTTCTGTGTTGGACCCCTTTTTCGCTGTTTTCGCGCTTTCTAGAGTGGATTTTCGGATTCAGCATAGCGAATAGGCCCGGGTAAGCACAAAATCTCAAAATCGACTTTTTGCCCGGACACTGCCTTTAAAGGCACCGTCCACCCTAGGTTGAGTGTGTTGAGCTTTTGGCAGCATATAACTGTAGGGCCTCCTATCAAGCCAAGGCCCAAGTCGCGGCGCAATATGCAGCTTCGGAAGCGAGAAAATCGCTTCGGATTAGCGAAGATGCACGAGGACCCCCATCCATGCCCGCCCCTCCCCATCCATACCCGCCCACTTGTGCGCGCTCATCCAATCACGTTCTGGAAAGCCGGCCTGTGAATTCTCCAGAATGGGGATTGTCGGGGTTTTCGCGGATTCTCGACTTCATATTTGGTATCAGGGACATGAGAAGGCCCTGAAACAACAAAAACCTAGAAGTCGAGAATCTGGGTGGAAGGTGCCTTTAAGGCACAGTTTCAAACCGAAATCCTCCATGCATTTCTTGATAACTGCCGAAACTTTCCATCTTTTTTATCTGCTCAAAGTTCGGTCAAACTTCAGAAAGTTTATTTCAAAATTTTGACTGCAGTAAGTGTGGGACAAATAGAACAAATCTCGGGCAGCTTCGCGCTGTATGGACTCTTTAGATTCTCCTAAACTGCTAATTTTCGAATTGGATTTCGGTGACTGTGAGCTCGGAAGTGTTTCCCTCGCGGAACTTATACGGAAACACGCATGATTGAGCAACGTTATACTTGGGTAAGCAAACTTTATTACTACTGACTACTCAACAAAATGCGTTAATAGAAAACAATTAACATAAAAAGTAATCTTAAAGGCGACGAGAACGTGAAACCAGATTGATTGGTCAGAAAAGATGCGAAAAGATAGATCTTAGCAAACAAAGTGACTCACCATACTATATCTGTGAATAGCAAAAGAATTGAAAATACTGTCGTTATGAATAGAGCAAGCAAACTATTGGAAATACTGTGACTATGAGTAAAGCAGGCAAGCAATTAAAATACTATGATTGTGAATGAAGCAAGTGAAAAGAACAAAAATGCTGTAAAT